GTGCCAGTCTTCAGGCCCATGGATTTAATGGTGGAGGCCAGTCCACGAAGAATATTTGCCAATGCTCATACATACCACATCAACTCCATTTCTATTAATAGTGACTAGGAAACTTATTTATCTGCAGATGATTTGTGGATTAATCTTTGGCACTTGGAAATTACAGACAGGAGTTTTAATATTGTGGATATCAAACCTGCCAATATGGAAGAGCTCACAGAAGTGATCACAGCTGCAGAATTCCATCCCAACAGCTGTAACACATTTGTGTACAGCAGCAGTAAAGGCACCATTCGACTCTGTGACATGAGGGCATCTGCCCTCTGTGATAGGCATTCTAAACTGTTTGAAGAACCTGAAGATCCCAGTAACAGGTCGTTTTTTTTCCGAAATCATCTCTTCTATTTCTGATGTAAAATTCAGTCATAGTGGTCACTATATGATGACTAGAGATTATTTGTCAGTCAAAATTTGGGATTTAAATATGGAAAACAGGCCTGTGGAAACATACCAGGTGCATGAATACCTCAGAAGTAAACTTTGTTCACTGTATGAAAATGACTGCATATTTGACAAATTTGAGTGTTGTTGGAATGGATCTGACAGTGTTGTCATGACTGGATCTTACAATAATTTCTTCAGAATGTTCGACAGGAACACAAAGCGAGATATAACCCTAGAAGCATCACGAGAAAACAATAAGCCCCGCACGGTTTTTAAGCCACGCAAAGTCTGTGCAAGCGGCAAGCGAAAGAAAGATGAAATAAGTGTTGACAGCCTAGATTTCAAGAAGAAAATCCTTCATACAGCCTGGCATCCCAAGGAGAATATCATTGCTGTAGCTACTACAAACAATCTGTATATATTTCAAGACAAAGTGAATTAGGGTCGGCATTCCTAGCAGAAGAGCCCACTTCCTGCTTAGTTGAGATAGTTGAATCTAGCATTCATACCTATAAAAGAGAGAGGTCCATTGTGGCACCCCTTCCAGTGTTTGACAGTGTGCCATTCGACAACACATGTTTATAGCTACATGGAGAAAACTCTGGATCCCTCCCTGGTGTTCTTTCTCCATGTCTGCTAGCCATTTAGGTAAGGGTAGGGCACTTTTAATTTAAATGACTTCTTGCACTATCTTGCCTAATGGACTAGATTGGACTGTGTCAACATTGATTTACTCCACTTTTTATGCCTTCCATTGTGATGACATCAAACACAGTGAACGCCTTCAGTCATGCTATGGGATTTAATTGTGTATCCTCATTACTGTATCATTTGTGGGGTACACCCTTTCCCCTTTTTTAAATTAAATACAGCTCATTCTTACTGTGGCTTGTAGCATTCCTCCTCTCCAGCCTCCTGGACTCTTCCCCCTCATCTCTCTTACCCTTGCCCCTTCCACCCAGTCTTGGTGGTGGTATATATAAAAAAAAAAAAAAAAACAAAAGAAAGCACACAAAATGAAAATTGGGGTCAATGGTAAAGGGGGTATATGTTGCGAACAAATGTTTAATAACAGATGGCTGTAATCACTCCTTGCCATGTCTGGCAACGAAACTAAGAAAAAAAAACTACTACTGAATAAAAGTGACAAAGAATGGAGCATCTGGTTTTCTTTTTTTATTTTTATTTTTATTTTTTTTTTTAAATCTACCTCTTTAAGTCAATATTTTGTGTCATATACCCTTGGGTGCAGTTAAATGAAATGGTTTCCATTGTTTTAATGATATTTTTTGTTATTTTTTTAACAAATGTTCTTTTTCATGGAGGAGAGGTATTGGTTCTGTGTGAACGTGTTCTGAATATATATTGGTATTAAGGATTTCATGATCTATAAATGCTACTAGAGATACATTACTGTAGTTCTGACAGTATTGGATACATTGTATCTATACTTTAACTCATCTGTTAATGAAATTACTGTAAATGAGAGCCTAATTTGTAGAACTTCATTTTTAAAGACTTTTTATAGTGTTTAGTTTTGTTTTTGCCTTAACTAAATACTAAGTGAAAGAGTTAAATGTTTTTTTAACAACTTTAAACCTTTTTGTCAGTCATACAAGAGCAGAAAACTAACATCTAGTAATTTCATAGATAAAAATTGACACTACACCAACTGCTTTTTTTTTTTTTTTTTTGTATTTTACTGCTATCAAATCAGAATCAAAATGAAATGTAATTTGCCATAGATATTTTTCTTGGTTTTTGTTCTCCAAAGCCTATATTAAAGACAAACCTTTAAAGATACAGTGTTCATAAAGTGCTTACTGGACTTCAGCTGCTGCCTCAAAGATTCAGATCTCTAAGCGACTGCATTTCCTTAAGTGGTGATATCCAAAGATGAAGAGGACTCCTGGTTTTATAGTGGGATGCATATTTGTCAGTCCTGCAGAAGCTTTAATGGAGAAAAGATGGACTTTATTTTTAAAAGATGAATCGAACAGGCATTTATATTGTATAGAATGGTAGTATATTTTGGTTGAGCAGTAATATGACAACCTGAATATTACAGAGGACTCTGGAGTGCTTGTATTCCCACTATCTATTGTTCTTCGGTAATGAAAAATAATTCCATCATAATTTCCTCTCCATTATACAAATAATTATGTCTTGTAAATTAAGTTTTTAGCACACAGGAGAAATTTTATGTAATAAAATTACTGTATCTTTTGCAAAAAAAAAAAGACTATAAATAAATAAATGAATATAAAATGCAAGCACTGACAGTAACTCCTTAAACTCAGGCACGTGGGATGGCAGTTTGTAGCATTCCTGTGAGCGCTCAGAGCTGGGAACATTAATCATTTTACAGAAGAAGAAACTAAGGTTTGAATACACACTAAATCATCTGTCAGTGGTAAGCCAGAGCCTGGGATTTAATGTCCTCACATCCATGTAGACAGACCACTGTCCCAGAGGTCCTTTGCTATGACTGAGCTAGTCATGGGGGCAGTACCCAGGTGATGGAAGAGGAAGGTCCAGGAGGAAGACAGAGATTGGTGTCCCCTCCCATGCTGACCTGAGGCCTAGACTGGGTAGTTCCCCCCACATCCTGAAACAATAGCAACCATTTCTATTATTACCTTCTATTATTACCTTTGGTGTTGAGAGGCTGACTGGGCAGTTGGGCAGTTTTCCCTCCACGTCTTTCAATCAGTTGCAGTCAGATGGCAGCTGGGCTGGATTCATTACAAAAGCTTCCTCACATGAGCATGTGTCAACTGTGATCAAGGCTGGGCCCTCAGCAGCAAGAAACCTACACCTTGCCTCTGCATGTGGCTTGGACTTCCTCACACCTAAGTACCAAAGGTGAGCGCCTGAGACAGAGCCAGGCAGAAGCCTCTCAGGATCCAGCCCTGGAAATCAAAGGGCAGGATTTTATTATAGGTGGACAAATATATAATGAACAGTACAATGTCAGATGTTGAGTACTGTGAGAAAAAAATGAGGGTGACTTGGGAGACGAGAGATTCCTTAGAGAGGAGGTCAGGGAGGCTTTTCTAGGGGACAGAGAACTGAGTGCCTGTGGATATTGGAGGGAAGACACTGCAGGCAGAGGTAACTGCAAAGAAAAGGCCTCTAAGGAGAGCGAGGCTGGCACATTCCGAGAGTGGCAGTGGCTGCTGAACAACAATGAGGTGTGCTGAGGCCAGAGCAGAACTGCATCAGGGAGCTGGCTGGCGGAAGGCCCAGGACCTTTAGGGAGTACAACTCTCCCCCCTCTCCCCTTCTTTCTCGTGGTCCTACAAGTGAGCTTCCTAGTGCAGCTGTAACAAATGGCCTTGAAACGACAGCCATTAATTTCTCACAGCTCTGGAAGTTAGAAGTCCAGATCAAAGAGTTAGCAAAGAGCTACACTCCTTTGGGCGAATCTAGAGCAGATCCCACCCCACCCCCAGCTTCTGCTGGCTCCAAGATGTCCCTGGCACGTGGGAGCACTGTGTGTGTCTCTTTTAGAAGGGCACTTAAGGTCAGGTTTAGGGTCCACTCAAGCTAATTCAGAATGACCTCATCTCAAGATCTTCAACTTGATTAGATTTCTGAAGATCTTTTATCCAAGTAAGGTCTCAATCAAAGGTTCTGGGGGTTAGGATGTGAATGTATCTTTTTGGTTTATTTTTTTGATTTTGGTGCCAAGAACTAAACCCAGGGCTTCCAGCTTGCTAGGCAAGCATTCCACCGCTGAGCCAAATTCGTAGCCCCCTAGATGTATCTTTTTGAAAGCCACATTTCAGTACAAAATTTTATTAAGATCTAAGGCAGGCCCAGATGAATCTGAGTTTCAGTTCCACCCTTGGAAAAATGGGCAATAGCACAGTCTCTGAGGAATAAAAAATGACTATAAATTATTTCATAGTACCCCACGTATACTATGTATTCCATTTTGGGTTGTTTGTGGGGGAAGGTGTTGGCCTCCACCATAGGCCAGCCTATTAAAACATTTTTAAAGCCTGTGTGGAATAAAGCCTTAATAGGCACCATGGGAGTCAAAATTGAAGAAAAAGGTCCAGTGTTAGGTTCCCCACCTGAGGTTACTTGGTGAAAAGTATCTGCCTCGGGGCCAGGGAGATGGCTCAGTGGAATAAGCGTTTCCCTGTCAAGCGCAAGGGCCTGGGTTCAATCCCTGGTTCCGCAAAAAAAAAAACAAAAACAAAGACAAACCAAAAGTATCTGCCTCCTTCACTCTGAATCAGAGTTAAAAACACAGTTAACTGAAAACACAGTTCAAGAAATGATTTCACATCATAAGATTGGCAAGAACTAGCAAGTGTTCATTTAGAAGTTTAAAAAAAAGCCATGGACTCAGAGATTTCCAAAATATATATATGCAAAGACATATCCAGAATACATAAATAATGCCTAAAATGTCAGTGAGAAAGTCCCATAAAAGGGGACCAGAAACATAGCTGAGCGGTACAGTGCTTGCCTGGCAAGTGCAAGGTCTCGAATTAGTCCTGTCACACACACACACACACACACACACACAAAATCCCATAAAA